TATATATATATATATATATATTTTTGTTTGTTTGTGTTGCTGCTGTTTGTTGATGTCAGGCGGAGTTTATTTTACTGGCGCTGCAGCATCTGCTGCAGCAGTATGCAGCAGCAGGAGAGGAGGTGCAGCACGTAGCAGTTGTGGCTCACTCATTGGGGGGTTTGTCTCTGCTGCGTGCGGTGTCTATACAGCAGCACAGTCGGAGACTGTCTCCTCCTGTCGACATGCGCCAGCTGTCTCTTCTTTCTCTCTTTTTTATTAACTCTCCCGTCAGCGGCCACCAGCTGGTGCAGCAGCTCCCCACCTTTCACTGGATGTACACCCGAGTGCATGCAGACCTCCCCCATGTATTGGGGCTGGCCCGCAGCAGCCAGCACCACCACCAGCACCCGCAGCAGCAGCAGCAGCAGCAGCAGCAGCAGCAGCAGCAGGCGCTGCTGCTGCCCAGGACTGTGGGGGTTTTCACTGTCTCCTCTGGGGCGCAGGATATTCTCGTGCATGAGTCTGTTGCTGGCTTTCCTCAGGGTACCCCGCAACTGTCTCCTCCTTTTTTTCTTTCTGTTGCTTCTCTTAAGCTAGCCCGCAGCAAGCTCACAGCTCTATATACACAGCTGCAGCAACAGCAGCAACTCCTGCAGCAGCAGCAGCAACACCAGCAACAGCTCCTGCTGCAGAAACAAAAACAAAAACAAAAACAGCAACGGGGACCAGAAGACAGCAGCATCCCCAGCAGCAGCCGCAGCACAAATAACACCACAACCACCACCACCAGCAGCAGCACCAGCACCAGCAGCAGCAGCAGCAGCAGCAGCAGCAGCAGGAGCAGCAGCAGGAGGGGTATAGATGAGTGTTTGGGTGTATCTGGTGCATACAGCTGCGGCCTACTAACTCGTCAGGTTTACTATACGCATATTTCTCTTCCCCTCAGCTCGGGTGTACATACATCTTCGTGCCACGAGTGCCCTCTCTTTGCCCCCCCAGAAATGAAGGTCTTCGTCCAGCTGCTGCAGGCACAGGTAGCGCTAGCAGAGCAGCTAGCTCCTGCTGCTGCTGCTGTGCGTCAGTTCCTCTCGCAGCAGCAGCAGCAGCAGCAGCAGCAGCAGAAGGAGCAGCAGCAGCAGCAGCAGCAGCAGCAGGAACAGCAGCAGCAGAGAGATAGTGGGGAGGAAAATCAACAGGAATTGAATATACAGCGTTTGCAGCAGCAGCAGCAGCAGGTGCAGCAGCAGCAGCAACAGGTGCAGCAGCAGCTGGATGCAGTGAATGCTGCTTTGTCTTCAGGAGCAGCAGTGCTGCGGTTTCTGCGTCTCCGTTTGTCTCCTTTGCTGCTGTCTCCTTTTCTGCTGCTGCACCCAGCATGGCGGCTAACAGAGCAGCAGGATTTCTTGTCTTTGATTCTTGCTGCTGTGGATACAGAAGTGCAGCAGCGGCTGCTGTCTCCTTTTTATGCTGCAGCAGCAGCAGCAGCAGCAGCAGCAGGAACGGGCACCACACCCAGACTCGCTAGCTCATCTCCTAGGGCCCTTGCTGCTCTCCTCCGCAGCGGCAGCTGCAGCAGCTGCAGCAGACAAGAGGTGTGCCTGTACCCTAGAGATATGCTGGCTA